TCCTAAAAGTTGTTACTAGAGTTTCTCAAAGTTGTTACCAAAGTTCCCCAAAGTTGTTATCAGAGTTCTAAAAGTTGTTACCAAAGTTCCCCAAAGTTGTTATCAGAGTTCTAAAAGTTGTTACCAAAGTTCCCCAAAGTTGTTATCAGAGTTCTAAAAGTTGTTACCAAAGTTCCCCAAAGTTGTTATCAGAGTTCTAAAAGTTGTTACCAAAGTTCCCCAAAGTTGTTATCAGAGTTTCTAAAAGTTGTTATCAGAGTTCTAAAAGTTGTTACCAAAGTTCCCCAAAGTTGTTATCAGAGTTCTAAAAGTTGTTACCAAAGTTCCCCAAAGTTGTTATCAGAGTTTCTAAAAGTTGTTACTAGAGTTTCTCAAAGTTGTTATCAGAGTTTCTAAAAGTTGTTAATAGAGTTCCCCAAAGTTGTTACCAAAGTTCCCCAAAGTTGTTATCAGAGTTCTAAAAGTTGTTACCAAAGTTCCCCAAAGTTGTTATCAGAGTTCTAAAAGTTGTTACCAAAGTTCCCCAAAGTTGTTATCAGAGTTCTCAAAGTTGTTACCAAAGTTCCCCAAAGTTGTTATCAGAGTTCCCCAAAGTTGTTATCAGAGTTTCTAAAAGTTGTTACTAGAGTTTCCCAAAGTTGTTACCAGAGTTCCTAAAAGTTGTCACCAGAGTTTCCCAAAGTTGTTACCAGAGTTCCCCAAAGTTGTCACCAGAGTTCCCCAAAGTTGTTATCAGAGTTTCCCAAAGTTGTTACTAGAGTTTCTAAAAGTTGTTACTAGAGTTTCCCAAAGTTGTTACCAAAGTTCCCTAAAGTTGTTATCAGAGTTTCCCAAAGTTGTTATCAGAGTTTCTAAAAGTTGTTACTAGAGTTTCTAAAAGTTGTTATCAGAGTTCCCCAAAGTTGTTATCAGAGTTTCCCAAAGTTGTTATCAGAGTTTCTAAAAGTTGTTACCAGAGTTTCTCAAAGTTGTTACCAAAGTTCCCCAAAGTTGTTATCAGAGTTTCTAAAAGTTGTTACTAGAGTTTCCCAAAGTTGTTACCAGAATTCCTAAAAGTTGTCACCAGAGTTCCCCAAAGTTGTTACCAGAGTTCCCCAAAGTTGTCACCAGAGTTCCCCAAAGTTGTTACCAGAGTTCCCCAAAGTTGTCACCAGAGTTCCCCAAAGTTGTTACCAGAGTTCCCCAAAGTTGTTATCAGAGTTCTAAAAGTTGTTACCAAAGTTCCCCAAAGTTGTTATCAGAGTTCTAAAAGTTGTTACCAAAGTTCCCCAAAGTTGTTATCAGAGTTTCTAAAAGTTGTTACTAGAGTTTCTCAAAGTTGTTACCAAAGTTCCCCAAAGTTGTTATCAGAGTTCCCCAAAGTTGTTATCAGAGTTTCTAAAAGTTGTTACTAGAGTTTCCCAAAGTTGTTACCAGAGTTCCTAAAAGTTGTCACCAGAGTTCCCCAAAGTTGTTATCAGAGTTTCCCAAAGTTGTTACTAGAGTTTCTAAAAGTTGTTACTAGAGTTTCCCAAAGTTGTTACCAAAGTTCCCCAAAGTTGTTATCAGAGTTCTCCAAAGTTGTTATCAGAGTTTCCCAAAGTTGTTATCAGAGTTTCTAAAAGTTGTTATCAGAGTTTCTAAAAGTTGTTACTAGAGTTTCTAAAAGTTGTTATCAGAGTTCCCCAAAGTTGTTATCAGAGTTTCCCAAAGTTGTTATCAGAGT